CGTGCACCCTGCTGCGCTGCTTTCCCGATCCAACATGCTTCAAGCAATGGTGCAGTTCCTGTTTTGGGAATACGTCCCTCCTGAGCTCCATCTCTGCAGGCTGAAACTGCACTTCTACAGATTCCACCATACATTCACATTGGAAAAGTTGCCAAAGTTCCGATGTGAACTGCTGATTCATTGGAAGTCGAACATGTAAAAAAGCTATCATTGAGATGCCCGCAGGTGTTTTATGCAGATGATTTTTAGTTTATGGTGGGGTAGGATTTAGATATCTACCTCTGAAACACTGGGACTGTTACTTTGGGAAAAAGTGGTTCCAATGAAAAATATATTTTCTGTATGTTATTCAACCTGACACATTACATTACAAATATCTCATCTTTGTGATTTGGGGGTTAACCTTTATAAAGATCTGAATATCACAATCAAATAAAACAATATTAAACCATCACTGAGAATGCTGTCTTTGTACGCCTTGCCTTATTCCTCACACACAAGTGTACTCAATATTTAAGGCTTTATCAAAGACACAAGTTTCACAGTGAGTTCCAATGAATGAAAACGTGAATGGATATGACTTAAATCATAGTGTAGCCCTGCCTATTGGAGATGATATACGGCGGATAATAGCTGACGTTGCACTTGTGTGATTTCAGGTAACATGTGCCCCTTCCATCATGACACTGCGTCAGAGCGCTCCAGCTGCAATATGTGGAGGGGATATCTCTGTGTTGATGTATGGTACTGACGGCGAGAGTAAACAAGCTCACAGAGGGGATTAAGGACAGATTCCATCATGCTCAGCTTTTCCAAGGGTTGCAGGCTGTGTGTGTGTGTGTGTGTGTGTGTGTGTGTTTGTGTGTGCGTGTGCGTGTGCGTGTGTGTGTGTGTGTGTGTGTGTGTGTGTGTGTGTGTGGCCTAGCATTACTATCCTTGTGGGGACCTAAATATGTTTACACAGTCACGTGTGGGGACTCGCCTCCCTTATGGGGACAAAATGGAGGTCCCCATGAGGGGAATCATTCATTGTAGGGTGAAGACTTGGTTAGGGTTAGGGTAAGGGTTAGGGTTAGGCATGTGTTGGTTATGGTTAAGGTTAGGATAAGTCTCCAGGAAATGCATGTAAGTCAATGTAATGTCCCCTGAAGTGATGTATACATGGTATATGTGTGTGTGTGTGTGTGTGTGTGTGTGTGTGTGTGTGTGTGTGTGTGTGTGTGTGTGTGTGTGTGTGTGTGTGTGTGTGTGTGTGTGTGTTGTTATCAGAGCACAGAGGAGCAATTCAATACACAGACACACGAGATAGAACATGGCTATAAAGAGCGTTAGTTTACCGATAATCATATGTTTGAAGTTTTTAAGCTTCTTCTTGCCCCTGTTGAACATGACAGAGACTATTTTAGTTTTTTTTTGTGGTTGTTATATTTTTGTAAAAAAACTGAGAATTTCACTAAAAATTAAACGTATTATGTCGACAGATCATCACATAACTTGATTAGGTCCATTGGAAGCAATAATATTAAGTTGAACCTATTTGTATTTCAACTGAAAAGTATTGCTTCCATCTAACCTAATACAGTTTTCTGAAATGTGTTGACATAATACATTCAATTAAAGTTATCTTTTCAGTTTCGTCAGTGTGGCATGCTTGTGTACTGCTTAAAAATTGTGAGACATCTATGACATTTTTGCAATATGTCTCTGTTCGTACCAGCTTCAGGATTGGTGTGTGTTAATAAATATATGTTTATAATGACACCCGAATCACTAACCCTTTGTAAGCAGCCCAGATACCCACAATGCTGTTGTTTACTTAACTGGAGAGAGCAAGGCTTACAGTATTTGCAAGCATACAGTAATCTTATTTGAAATTCAAATCTGAGGCTGTGTAAACAAATGACGCCAGCGAATGTGAGCTACAGTATGTAGGCGTCCATTTATATGAACTGAACAACATCTCTATGACGATTGGTCATGTGTTATATCTGCAAAAGTGTTTTAAGCTAAGCTGTACACTTTCATTTGTGTCATATTCAGCTACTTTCCAGGTATTGTTTTTGTACCAGGTTATGGATTGGCACAGATGTTACAGCAGTTACATTTATTCTTTTTGTTAAATTAAAAACTACACAATGCAATTTATTTTGCACTAAAAAAACACATTATATGGATAAGAGGTAGGAGGCTATACTGACCATTACAATGCTCCAATAATGCTTACAATATCAAACTAGCATTAAACTAAAACTATATGTTGTTCATTTATTTAGACTTAATTGTTTTACATTGCAATGAGAACATTTTTTGAAAGAAAATGGATTTGATTTCTTTCTTTCTCGAATCAGTCAACACTCATTTGAAAATATATATATTAACGCTTATTTCCTGACACTAGCTCAATTTATTATCCTTTCTATCTATTAATGAGGTTAAAGTACATATTTAAAGCTACACACACACACACACCCACACCCACACACACACACACACACACACACACACACACACACACACACACACACACACACACACACACACACACACACACACACACACACACACCCACAGGGGGTGATATGCAAATTCATATCACCCCCTGATACACGGGGCTATTCATTGAGACATGCAGTACGTGCCTAGTGGCCTCACTCCAGGTGCCAGGATTTGAATACCTAACAAATACACCATGTTTTTTTTATGACATTTGACTAAAGCAACACCAGAGCATGGTCTGATAGGCATACATAATTATATCTTCTGAATGTTATGATCTTTCCAGTAAAAAGACCATACATTAAATAACCAAAACTTGGCATGGGACCATACTAACAGTGAGTTGTTCATTTCATGGTTATTGTTGTCATGAATTGAAAATAGTATTAAAAAAACACAGAAATGACCATGTTAGAATGAACAAGCTCACACAATGTTTCCATTTAATTCATTAGTTTATTTATTAGGTTTCATAGCTCATGGATACCCTATTTAAGATGATATGTATTACTTAAAGGATGTACACTAAAAAGGGATGTGTGTTCTGAAAGAACCTGAAACATTGATTGTAATAAAATATATTATGTCAACAGATTTCACATAACTGTATAGGTTAGTTGAAAGCAATAATATTATGTTTAAATACAAAATATTAGGTTCAACATGTTGGATAAACTACCATCTTACATCTGCTCCCTGATCTCACGGCGAATTGTAAGTAGCTACTGCCTGAGATCGCATGCTGTGGTTTTATTAAATGTGCCAAGTGCTAGGACTGTCTTAGGGAAGAAAGCTTTTAGATGCACAGCTCCTCTAACTTGGAACAGTCTGCAAAAGGAATGGAAACTGAGCAATCTGGTTCCACTAAATGTTTTTAAAGCTCGGTTGGATGCTATACAATCGGATGCTGTTGGTACCTGTACATGTCGATAGGTATGTCAATTGTAATCCCTGTAACTTTGCTGTACGATGTCCTTTTTGTTGTTCTGTTGTTTTATGTTTTGATGTCTTCAAGTGGAACCTACTTGCAGCAGGTCTCCCTTGAAAAGGAGATCAATGGGATTCACCTGCATAAATAAAGGTTTGAAATGAAATGAAATGAAACTTAATATTTGTGCGATTTAGACTTGATATCAACCATTTGCCTTGCTAAGACATTATTTGGCAACTCACGGACAACAAGTCTTGCTGAAACTTCTCAAAGTATAGCACTCAAAACAACTGAACGTACTGAACGTATGCTCATTCAAAGCTAATGGGCACATTTCTGATGGCTGGAAGTCTTCTCATCAATGTCCAATGATTGCACAAAACCCCAGCACTGGATGCTTTAATACAGCTACAGTTTGTAGTCTAATACGCATGGCTTTCTACTTTTTTCTTTTTAACATGCTGGGATCTATCCCTCTCTCCAAAAACTGCATAGGTCAAATTCATGTTGAACTTACAGTGTAAATAAAAAATATGCCTTAATCCCCCAATTTATACAAACTCAGTTGACACTTGGCTAGGTCAGACGAGGTGAAGAGGCTGAGTTACGGTGTGAATTATCTCTATAAAAGTGGCAGTGGTATATATCGTATAGCTCACTTGTCCTCAACACACAACATCGCTCCTTAGTCTTTGAAAGTGCAGTCAAACTAAGCTCATGTAGTTCGAGACCCATTGGGCCAGGTTAACCTAAACATACATACACACATTATCAGAGGCCTGAGATGTCCAGAGAGGGATTGAGAGTACCATCAAATGCCCATTTATATATATACGAAGTGTTAACAAAGCCTGAGAGTAGTCTATGGGTATGACAGAGGACTTGCACAGGGTCAGTTTAGAGACTTAACAGGCCTAAAGCCGAAATGCAGACCAGTGTGCATGGATGGATGGGAACAGTACAAATGAAAAGCAAATAGGAATACATACAGTAACACTTGACATGTTGCTACACCAAATGCAGCACCCTTTGTATATTTTCTGGTGACAAATTGCCTATTTTTACGTTTCATTTACATTTGACGAGACATTTAGTTTACGAATTGGAGGTAGTGTTCCTTTCTTGTTCGGTCTGCTCCATCTTTAGAAAAGTGTTTATTTTCTTCAATAATCTAACAGTATTTTATCTTGGTTTTTTCTAAGGACATGCAGTACTCGCTATGGCAAATATGCAAATGCCATTTCCAGCAAATACAGTCTGTTTTTACTGGAACAGAGAAGCAGATGCACCTTGCGTGCAACAGCAATAAAATTAGATTAAACCTGACTAAATGTAGGCTTATGAAAGCACCCTAAAAGGCGACAGTCAAATTCTTCCGCTAAATGATATGCTATAAGAGATCCATTCATCCAGACTTCACGACCTTTAGTTAATCAATAATCTCTCGCCTTTGCTGATTTTACTATGTACTCATGTAAGGGAAAATAGCTGGTGCGTTCAGCTGGTTTACATCCCTCATACCAGATATAAACCTGTGACTTCTCAAAGTTTGCAACAACATACTCTACGGCACCAGACCTCAACAGGTAAGAGACTTCATAGATATGGACGACACACACTGTTAATGACGAGGGATTCAACAGCTCTCACACGACGCATTTAAACATCTAGATCTTTCCTTGATCATCTCTGTGCTTAATATTCTTTGTTTATTCTTTGTATTCTTCAAAGTCTTCTCACCATTTGAACCTAACATCACCGTGGATATGTCTCTTTTGGTTTTCCTGCTGTGTTCAGGTAAGGGTTCCTTTCTGATCTTTGGATATGTTGTGCACATAAGTTAATGCATGCCATTGTTAGAGGATAAGGCCCTGCAAATAGATCTCAAAGATGATATATTTTCTAATCGGTTGTACTAAATATTTCTACATGCTGCCTCCATTATTCCTACTTTGATAAAATGACAAATGTATCATGTATTCATCAGAGAGGTTGGCGAGGTTTACCTAGTAATCTCCATTTAAACATTCCAAATCTCAAAATATTGTTTGTTGTTTATTTATGCAATTCATGTTAAGAATATAGTGAAGAATAATATATTATATTTTCTTTTCTTTTTGTCAGGATTATTTCACTTTACCTTCACTTCAAACCGTCTACGAATGTTTGACATTCATGGTCCTTATATCAAGTGGAGTGGCGCATCCGACTATTGTATTAAGAATAATGAATCACTTGTAACTCTGTATGATGAAGAAGACGGCAATTTCACAGACAAGTTTCAGGAATCAAAGACACTCTGGCTTGGCCTGCGTAAGAGTCGAAATCTTACTTGGTCCAACGGTGACAATGTCAACTTCAATGAATCATCTGTAATTTTGAAAAAAGGGAAGCAGATGTGTGAAGCTATTGACAACGACACATGGACAGGTTATACATGTTCAGAGAAGAAACATTTCATGTGCTCCAAAGGTACGTTTCAGCATATTTGATGTATCTGTGATGTTGAGATGTCTGTAACCGGTCAACTGTAGAGCCTCATTGACACAAACACAGCCATGCCACTTTAATGCCATTTCAAAAATCTTATTATGGACAGCAGGTAAACTACTAATGTGATGTCAGACTAAAGGATGGTGATCATCAAATAAGCATTAAACTCAAAATTAATGTTATATACATATATATATATATATTTACGCTTATTTCCTGTCAATTTATAAACATTTTAACCCTTTTCCGACTGCTGTGGATTTAGTTCATATTGAAAGCTAATTATGCACACACACACACACACACACACACACACACACACACACACACACACACACACACACACACACACACACACACACACACACACACACACACACACACACACACACACACACACACACACACACACACACACACACACACACACACACACACACACACACACACACACACACACACACACACACACCTCAAGTGAGATAGGGTTTAAGTGTCCTATGTATTATTTGCAGATGGTAACTACACCCTGATTGAACAAAAGGAGGACTGGTGTCATGCTCTGAAATACTGCAGAGCGCACAACAGTGACTTGGTCAGTATCCATAACGAAACGGAAAATGGCTTAGTGCTTGAAAAGGGAAACAAGAGCAGCTTCTGGATAGGACTCATGCAAGATGAATGGAAGTGGGAGGACAACGGCTGCTCTTCATTCAGAAAGTGGATTAAGCCACTCACTCGAGATTCAGACGAAGAAGAAGAAGAAGAATGCACAAACAACAAACATGAAACAATTGAGGAAGTTGGTTGTGATCAACCTAAACAAACCTTTTGCTCCAAAGGTAAGTGATATATAAGCAAAGCAATTCCTAATATGATGTTACATTTAATAAAAGGATCAAGTTTATACAAACACACACAATCTATACTGAACATACACTGTATGGTGGGGGAATGTTTAGACGACACTATAAACACTGATGTTGGTAATAACAGCGTGACACGAGGAAATGTCAAGACCAAGTAACTATATTCAAATAAAACACATGTCGATGTTATCTGTCATAAAGTCAACTGAACTTCAGGTAGTGCTAGTGCTTTGTCAATATAGGAATGTATATTAGTGAAAGATGCCTTCATTAGAGTAAAGAACAGTACAAGTTATACATTTCAATTCCATAGTAAAAGTACACATACTGAGGATATGTATTACAAAACTGAATAGGAACTAGATGTGCATGTGAATAAACGTTTGTGTCCACCTGTAAATCTTACTTCAGTGTTCTCCCTGGTTTCATCATCAGGTGACATGAGAATCAAAGTGATCAATGAGAGTTTGAAATGGGAAGAAGCCTTTAAATACTGCGAGACCAATCACTCAGGCCTGCTGTGGATTGAGGACAAGGAAGATCAGGATGCTGTCGAACAATGGCTCAAATACAGCGATGTGGTTGGTCCGTTCTGGATCGCCCTGAGGCAGAGTCATGTCTTTGGGTTCTGGATCTGGAGAGACAGTGCAGTGTCTTACAATAACTGGAAGAATGGATTCGTGCCTGTGCCTCCTTCCTCACACATATGTGGTGTCATCAACCGGACGGACAACTACACGTGGACGGATGAAAACTGTGTGCTTGAGCATCCTTTTCTTTGTGAGGAGGAGATTGTATACATGAATCACAATGAATAAACTGACTTTAATTAGATGTATTATGTCAATAGATTCCACAGAACTGTATTTAGGTTAGTTGAAGGCAATACAATAAAGTTTAAATAGGTTCAACTTGATATTACCGCTTTCAACTAACCGAATAGAGTTCAGTGATATTTGTTGACATAAAACATTTAATTAAAGTCAACGTTTCTGTTTGTTCAGGGCAGCAACATCTCCCCGAAAAGGTCCCTTTAATACTCTGATTATGTATTGATGTTTTTCTTGAATTCAGCTGGTAAAATAAAAATACATCTCTTAAGTTTTAGTTTGTAACATAACATTGTAGTTTGATATGTGTGTAGTTAATAGACATTGATGATGTGTTCTTAATGATGCCTTGTTATCAACAGGAGTGGAAATGAATTCATTATTTTGTTCATGTTGAGATGTTTGTGAAGTAACTCAATCAATTGAATCAATTCATTTTGTATGTGTGTGTATGTGATGCTCCACCCCCTGACCCCTGACCCACAAGTAATACTTGAAAACATATGTATCTACATTAAATCAAGAAAATGTGCTTTTAAGTCTTTGATTTCTTAGTGTAGTTTGATGCAGTTTTTTGGTTGTAATACATAACTGTATTAGGTTGGTTCAAAGCAATCATATTAAGTTTAAATAAAAAAATAAAACATATTCGGTTCAACTTAGTATTGTTGCTTTTCAGCTAACCAGTCCATAACAGCTTGGATAATTTCAGTAACATTACTCACTATGTGGACACATTTGAAATGAAAGTGTGTCTGTGTGTGTGTGTGTGTGTGTGTGTGTGTGTGTGTGTGTGTGTGTGTGTGTGTGTGTGTGTGTGTGTGTGTGTGTGTGTGTGTGTGTGTGTGTGTGTGTGTGTGTGTGTGTGTGTGTGACTTTGTTTATACGCCTGGTGATCTTTGCTTATTCCAGAGAAACAGGCTCTCCCTTGACTTGTCGTTCTGCTCTCTTCTCTGGCCATTCTGTGATGTATGTGTGTAAGTGTGTGATCATATCTCATCCAGAGGAGCCAGGGCTTCCTCCACAACACACACACACACACACACACACACAGTGTTTGCAAGGCGTAAATCAACAGCCACTGAGGATCCTGACTTACAGCCAAGCACATTTCTTGGAGCAAAAAACAGCAAATGTTTGTTGGCAGAGATCTGGGCCAAATACACGGCTGAGGGTTGAATGACGGCCCAGGCCTGGTGTCCATTCAGCCAGAGCTAAATCATAAGACAGTCATACCTCCGCCAGGACTGAGTCAAAGGATCAGCAGCAGATGTGATTGATACAGTCTCTTGGCTTTATTGAGAATATCTGTATGTCCGAGTACTGGTGACGGCAAGTTTGAGCTCAGAGTTGAACTTTATCTACAAGAAAATATCAGAATCGTATAATTCAATCTGGACTCAAGTGGTACAATTCAAACCTTGTCATAGTGACACTTTCTTACATGGAAACAATACAAATCCGGCAAATTAAACTATTATACTGTTTTTCATCAATATATTATAGGTCTCAGATATTTGGTTAAAAAGAACACAATGGTGCTCGAGGAGGAGATTCAGGTGATAAGGTGGGGGGGGGGGTTACCTTGGTTGGTGATTGGCTAATGGTTACACAAGCCAAAAAATCGTTATGACATCATAAAGTGGCAAGTGGGGAAAGTGGATTTTGCATAATAGGTGACCTTTAACACCATGAGAGACTACGGGATCTATTTTAATCTCACATTTAAACACATATACAGTAGGCTCCTTTTTTACATGCCTACATTCAGGATTAATCAGGTACCACCTACTGAGATCGTAGCAACAATTTAACACTACAAGTCTCTTTGACACAACAGGAAATACACCCTAGGACAGTGTGTGAACCTGCTGGAGGGTGACATGGAAACTGGTTTAATTTTGATGGGAATTTGGCATAAGGTGCGCTGTTAAACTGGAGCAGGATTAGCATTCGGCTGACATGAGGTATACTGCAGTTTAATAACAAACTGACAACTGACCTTTGCCAAGGCTGTTTCCATGAGCATTTTGGATTCTTTTTCAAATTCAATTAGCTTCCTTGGACCATGTTACACCTTTCTACGAGTGTTCATGAAAATTGGGCTGGTAGTTTTTCCCGCTGACAAACAAACCAACAAACAGAACCAAAAACATAAGTAAAAATGGTGGTGGCTTTGTAAGAAGGGCTTGCCATTGTCATCATTATTACTCAGACCATGCATGCACTGAAAACACTGTTGACTTTAATTAAATGTATTATGTTTTAGTTTTTTTCAGTCTGAAAGATTGTGTCAATTCAAAAAAAACTATTCACAGCAATTAAGTATGCAAAACGACTGAGTTTTTATGGTGCCTTCATTTGCCAAGGCTTTTGGCTAGAGGATTTATCATTCACAATAAAAAACGTTCAGCTATTACACACACATAACATTCCCAAAAATGGGCAAACATATAAGCAACTGCATGGCAACAGTATTTAGTGATTGGAAAGCATTCTAAAAAAAACTGTATTTTCACGAGTAAACCAATTGGACAGTTGGACATTCTGACTCAATAGAAAGTAAACCTTATATGTTTGACAAACAAAGTTTATCAAAAAATAAATGCTATTATATCCGTTCACAGACAGAACTGCAATGTTTGGTGTCAAATGAATAATTAAATCTGAGTAAGAATGTGCAACTATTGTTCCCAATGCACAGTCATAACAGCAGAATATCAGAACACTCAGCATGTCCTACATTCCTCACACTCAGACTCACAATCCAAAAGACTGCAGCTTTACAGTATTATCTGTGACTGTGTTTTAAAGCGGCCTTCTGTCTGTCTTTCCTGTCTATTTTAATTTGTTTCTGATACTTTCAAACTGTATCAAACCAAACAAATGGCCCAGAAAATGTTCTTTTGTTGAACAAACTAACATTCTGGGTTTAAATGTGTGTGTATAGACTCTGTACAGAAAGCACACACATATACACACTGAGTGTAGTGCAGTGAATATAATCAAAATGTTTATTATAATTGCTAGTTGGACACCAATGGCCACTGAAGCCCCTGCCCCTTGTTTCCACTCTTTTATAATTAGTATTCTGGTGCGGACCCGAACAACCTTTCATGAGGTTTCTGCCGCTAATGGTTGATTGCACAATATGAGCATGAGTAATGCATTTCAAACATGTTCAGCGTAGAGACGGCTGATTAACATAGGGAATTGCCATGAGAGCTGCTTGAGGGTCATAGTAGTAGAGTTGATGCAGAGTGTGTGTGTCTGTAGCTGTTGATTACAGACCTATATGCTCACTAAACCTTTGACCAGTGAGAAGTTCAAACCGGTGCCAACCCACCAATATTCACCCTAACTCGTGTAATTAGGATTCATTTTCTGATTCTACATTCACGTCAGTCTGCAGTTAAAAGTTCACATGCTTCTTGTCTTGCTATACTTCCTGCATCCTTCATTACTTGCCCTCCTTCACTACTTCAGCATCCATCTTCCATCCACATTTCAAGAATATAAACAGTCAAGCTCAAGTTGTCCCTCCACTCCTCTGACGCACAGGCAAATCCTTTTCTGCAAGTGTGTCTGCATGGTGTAAAATGTATACATCTAACAAGGTGAAGGGTGGAACAACATAAGACACCTGATGCATTGGTTTCCTACCACGCTAAGAAATACACAAGCTGGCAAGAGCTAAAAGCCATTGTACCTTGTTGATTTCCTTAGAATCTTCTCATATTCTCCTCCATTTACATTCTGTGGTGTAGCTGCTTTCCGCTGTTGCGATCCTTATCGGCAGATTGCTCAAAATACGCTATAATTGGAGGACGGCTGTTGTATCTATGCTCCTGAATGCTTAAAACATTTTGGAACTAAACAGCACAGCCAGACATGGGAGCTACGTGCAAGGGCATGTTTTCAAATTATACATCATTTTGGCGGCATGGACTTCTGGGACTACCTTGGGTGCTGTTTCCAAAAAATATATCCCTGTATGAATTGCATGCTCACTGACAGTAGGTGAACATTTTGCGAGAATCTTTTCAATCATTAGATTATATATGTCAGCCATAGTTGTTTACTTTGATAATCCCACCTCTCCAATTTAAGGCAAACAGTACATATGCTGTGGATGATAACAGACTGTGAAACACACCAACTAATAACCATGATAATAACAGTTGTGTTACTTTTGTTTGGGGTTACCCTGAAACCCCATATATAATGGATAGGGTTTATATCAGCCGGAAATGGCAAAAGTACACACATCCTTTACTCAAGTAGAAGTACAGATACTCGTGATTAAAAATACTCTGGTAAAAGTAGAAGTACTGACTAAACTTCTGTACTCAAGTAAAAGTAAAGAGGGCTTTGAAATGTACTTAAGTAAAAAGTGCCCATGACTACCAGCTGTTTTAAAGAGTACCTGACCTCCCTTTATATTAATAGAACAATAATGTCATTGTTAGCTAATGAATGTTTCCATGCTGAACAACGGCAACATGACAACGTTTTCATTGGTCCCTCTTCTTTAGAGAAGACCAGGAAATGATGGATACACGGATCGTGTTCAAATCAATAGGCACGCAATGACTCTAAATAATAATGATCACGCCACCAAACACACATTCAAACTAAAGGAACCAGCCTGTTTGGAAAATGTAAGAAGTAGGTATTTGTGTTCAAAATGTAAGAAGTAAAAGTAAAAAGTCGTCAGAAAATAAGTAGTGGAGTAAAGTACTGATACCAGAAACATGTACTGAAGTACAGTAACGAAGTATTTATACTTGTGTTACACCACTTATGTCTCTGCAGCATAAATATAAAAGTATGAGAGATTATAATTAGTAAAGCCATTTAAAAGATAATCCCACATCGTCTCTCTCAGCAATATTTATTGTAATAATTAACATGCATGCCAAGGAAACTGTTTGATATTCACTACAATATGAGGTTGTAAATTATTATGTAATCTGATAATGGAGGGCTCTCTATAATAGCCACAGATGTCTGCTTGATGTCCACTGAGAAAATACCTACTTCAATTTGTCAAAGATGTCATTTTCAAGGCTCTTTTCTTAATAACGCAACACAATAGGCCTTCACTACGTTGAAGTGCATACGTTACAGGCTATATTTAGCATTTAATTGTCAACTAGCGCTTCCCTGTTACTCTGTGGACATTACGCTGTCAGCTTTTCACTACAGTTATCTATTATAATTGCTGCACATTGAAACAATTATGGCTTTGTCTGTAAAATATCTAGTTATTGTGAAAAAGCCAATTAGCTATTGACACTGGAGGCAGCGATTCCCCCACCAACAAACACACACACACCCACGCACACACACACGGTCGCACAATCACTGGCACACATCTGTCAAAAATGTGTGTTTGCATACACACACACAAACAATTGATTGTGTGTATGCATTGGAATGCATTGGAAAGTGCACGTTTTGCATGTAATGCTTAATAACTATTGAGATACTTGTAGTGCAATATTTGCATTTAATTAAACAATTATTATTTAAGTATTGTTATAGTTAACACAAGGGAAATTAAAATGGGTGATTTCAA